TGGCTAATGGGTAGCCCTAGAAGGATTTATATTCCCTTTTAATGGATTGGCTATGGTAACATTGACGGATTGAACTGTGTCTCCCAGAAACATGTTGTAACTCTTAGCCTCTATGCCTGTGGTTATAATTCCATTTGGGAATGAGTTGTCATTGTTATGTTAATGAGACAGGATTAGTCTGTCTAGGGCATGCCATGAGTTGATCTCTTTTGAGATATAAAAACCAAAAATCCAAAAAAGTCACTAAAGGAGATTAAACAAACAAGGGGGAGAAATAGAGATAGGGGCAGAGAGATGCCAAGCCACATGAATATTGCCCAGGAATAGAAGCTCAAAGAGACAAGGATCTTCCTCCAGAGCCAACCGAGAAAACCTTGTCCTAGAATTGGCGTCCTGAATTAGGACTTCCAGCTTCCTAAATGGTGAGAAAATAAATTTCCATTGTGAAAGCTACCCATTTATGGTATTTCTGTTATAGAAGCACTAGATGACTCAGACAGTCACTTAAAAAAGAGACATCAGTGTCCCCTCTGGGGCAAGATTATTCTTGATAGCAACATCCCTCATTCATAATTCTCTTTCCCAGGCACAGAACTCACAGCCCAGAATCTTGAAAACTTCACTATCACTTCCATTCGAAGAAGATCTCTGTTTGCCCTTGTGTGAATGAGCCTTGGCATGTTGCATCCAAAAGGACTTTGACTATGGAGAGGGAGAAAAATCCAGAGTGAGAAGTTGTCTGTATATAGCATGGGGGAAGGCCGCTGCTTATGCGTAGGGGGAAGGTTTACATTTGAATGTCTAAAATTCAGCTTTCCGTCAGGCCTGGCTCTGAGCAAAGTCAAAGGTGGTTCACTGTTCTTTAGCACTTTCAGGGTTGTTGAGTCTGAGTAAAACTGCTGTAGTAGTTCAGCTGGTGTGTCAACTTGGCTGGGCCTGGTTGAGTAGCTGGGCAGCTGGATGTAGTATTCCCCACGATGAGACTGGTAATCAACTCCATGGTAAAATCTACTGTGAACAGCTGAGTAGCTGCCTTAGGGAGTGTGGTTTGCTTCCTGTATATAAGCAGAAGCCTTGGGGGAATGGTTTCTAGCTTACGCACACTTGGACCATGCATGTAGCTGTGTCATTGTTCAGCAGCCTGCCATGCTCTGCCGACCCTGGGACTTTCAAAGGACTTGAATTAATGATCTGCTGTGTGGTTTGGTAACATCGGGACTTTTGCCTTTTTACTTGTCAACCTTGGGCTTCTCAGCCTCAGCAGCCAGCAGCTGTCTGAGTGAAGAAATGCCTCTAGCTTCAGTGGGCCGAGAGCAGGAGGCAGAGCTGGACCCCAAGGTTGAGGGGCTTTCATCCAGCCCCTAGAGCCTAGCACTTTGAACTTGGACTTAAAGCCTCCAAAGTGTAAGAGAATAAACTCCTGTTTGTTAAAACCAACCCCTTTTGTGGTATATTCTTGTCTGCGTGGCACTAGGTAACCAGAACACCTTCTTTGGAACACTACAAAGGTATATTGTCCTGGGTGGGGTATTCAATATCAAACCTCTTTTTCTTCATCATCATGATCATCGTCATCATGACCATCACCTTCATCACCATCACCATCACCATCACCATTAACATCATCAGCATCAGCATCACCATCCTTTGTGTCAATCACTTCATTCCTTTCAGATTCCTTCCCATCTATTAACTCATTTTAATCATCATAGTGACTCTGGGTAGTAGGCAGAGTAGGAATTAAACATACTCATTTTTGATATGTGAAAATGAAGTTCAGAATCATAATGCTACTAGTCTAAGACGCAAATAGAGGCAAGAATAAACCCCAGATACCTGTCTCCTGCTGGTAGTGAGGCAATGAACAGGTTTGCTTTGGCAGGGAAATAGGAGGGGACAGGAAAGACAGGAAACTAGAAGACCCAAAGGGTTGAGATTTAAAGATGTGAGGCTCATATTTGGACTCCTAATACCAGGTGGCAGAGCAGATCACGTCTTCTGAGTGTAACACTCAATCTGAGGCACAGCTGAAGGTTTCATTGAATTCCCTGTGACTGGCAACATCCTTACTACTCTGATATCATGGTTCTCATGTACAGTCTAAAGACAAATTGGGCTCACAAATGCGGCTGGTGAATGTCTTTGGTGTTGTTTTGTGCAAGCTGGTTTAAGTTGCAAGGTTAAAATATTCATTTCTGTCACGCACAGAATCATCCTGGCTAAAAGAGATGACTGTGGGACCAATGGCAGCTCGACTATTTGGAAGCAATTCTCCTTTTCTCATCTCTGAGCCATATGCAGCAGCCTTTCCTGAGCCATGAATCATCCACTTGAGGGAAGGGAAGGGGGTAGAAAATTAAATATAATTCATGCTTTGCTAATTGAAATCAAATACAAAATTCAATCTCCCATAAGCTGCAATGTTCACTTTTAAATAGGGCAGAAGTACTATTAACCTACTCTATTTTAGCAGGTTGACTTAGATTTTCTGGATAGAAAATAATTCTTTTGTCAAGTTTCCCCACTGGAAAAGGGACATGGTGTAGTAGCTAACTCCCAGAGTCACAAGGATAAAGCTAGTGTAGACACTGCATTTCTTTTCAGAACCAAGAGCTTTCAACCGTATCACCAAACACACTCTAAAGTTCTCAAGATCCTGAGAATTAGGCCTCTGCTGTCTTTCTACAGAGAATTTCAGTCTACTGCTCTATGCAGGGGTATATAAATACTTTAAGTAGGGTTCCCCAATTTATTTCCAAGGTGAGAATGGTTTGTTAATCACTTATTTATTTAACGATATTAAAAAAATGAATGTGTTTGTCCTATTTATGTGACATATTTAAGTGATGAAGCTGGTCTCTCTCTCTCAGGAAACATGCTTACTACCTTTCCTTTGAAAGATCTCTTAAGGTCTTGATGTTCTGTTCTTGAGAGGAGAGCCAAGGATATGGAAAATGTGATCAAAGTGTTGAGTCAATGTGTATCCACCCAGGATGGAAGAGATGAGGGTATAGTAACAGTCTTTCTTAGTTGGTAGGAACATGTTTAATGCTTCCCTACACTCAGATGCTCCTTTGGCTGCCTAAGTTATCAGATCACCCCTTAGCTATTTGCCATTGAACTATAAAAGAGATAGTGTTCCTCCAAGGAGCCACAAAACTCTGGAGATCTCTTCCCTTGCAAGTATTTCCCACAAAAGCATAAGGAATGTGGGCGGGAGGAATAGGGAGCATAGAAAATACACACACCCACACACGTGTGTGTGTATTTTGACCTCTATCTTCTTTTGTTTTGGTAGTCAAGTTGTTTCTGTTGCTCAGGGCTCAACAACAAGTTTCTTAGCTAAAAAAGTTTTTACTTGCAAGGCTGCTTCTAAAACTGGCCAGTAAGACAATTCCTTGTCAGGATTGGTTAAGACAGAGGAAGCAGAAACTGTCTTCAGAGTGACTTTCTTTGTGCTATTTCAAGAACTATCCTACCCTGAAGACTGTTGGCTCTGAGGGTCTCTGGGCTTGGTCCTTCTGGCCATCCCAGAAGATGTGCTGCCAGCAGTCCGGGTGAGGGAAGGAGTGAGGGTATAGGTGACCAACACAAACACACCACTGGAACCCATGAATCAGGTTGCATCAAGCTTCATAACAACACAGTTTTCATTTAGTGGGAGAAATGACAGTTTAATAACAGTTGAACAAATTTAACTCCCCCCTTCATACATTTTCCAATTTTACTAGAACAACTCCTGGTTTTTCAGATCTGTGAACAAGTGCTTTGTGTTGAATGCTGCATTGGAATCAACTCAAACTAATGGGAAGGGACACTATTTGGCAGCCCTTGATGGGGGTGTCTACACACAGCCCTTGCCCTCCCCACCTTCTCCATAAACTCGGTCTGACAAATGGAGTCAGCTTTCTTGCTGCTGCCCTCATACATGCCATCTCTGAATAAGACAAATGAAGCATGAGATGACCATGAGGGGGTGAGGGTGGGGCAAAGAGAAGGGGCTGCAGAGTGGTAACTGCACCCCTCCCCTGTGAGTTGCTAAGGGTTATTCAGGACAAGAGACATGTCAACTGTCTGGTCCTTGTCCCTCTGGGGAAACTAAGGGACAAAGCCTACCCCAAATACATTACTCAGAATCATGGTGCTGCAAGAGAGGGTCTTTAAGTATAAAGAGGCCTCCCACCAGGATTGGCTTTCTTCCTTCACCTTCATTTTTGTCAACCTCAGGGCTCAGGTGCAATCCTACATTCTTAGATCAACCTTGTGGGCCTGATTCCAACACTAGGTCATATGCTAAATATTTCCATAACCCAGGATACTCATGAAGAGAGAGACCCAACACCCCTTAGAGGGCTGTTAGAAATAAAACTTCCATGCTACCAGCTTTTTTTGGGGGGGTGAGGAATGTTCATGCCTCTGCCTTCATACTGGGGAGATGGGGCAAATCAAGGAGCTGTGGGATAAGGACTTTAAGGAGAAGGCTAGAGACACCTGAGAGGGAGGATACTGCTCCCTAGTTGTCCTAGAATACTCAGCCACAAATAACATTCTGGAGAGATGCCAAAGCAGAGGTTTATACAGCAGATGTACCGGGTACAGGGCTAGAACCCAAGCTCCCCAAACAAAAGTGAGAGCTTCTACCAAGTAGACTTTCTTTTCTAGCATTCAAATAAAACATTTATGGCATTGTCTCTGACCTTAACAACTATCTATCTTTTGTCTTCACACTATTAAATGGCAGAAGACAAAGATTAGCAGTGACTTCTGGTGGCCATCTGGCCAACCAGATGCTGCTGTTGAGCCAGGCCTAGGTCCTTATGAAGATGCTATGGGCTCCACCCCTTTGCTTAAACCAATAGTGCTGGAGGCAGTCCTGCTGAGGCGAGGGAGGAAAGAAACTCCACAATCCAGTAAGGCTGAGGCTGCAGACCTGGGGAGTTTCAGGACTTCGGCAAGGAGCCTTCAAAGCTTTCGCCAGCCTTCCCTCCACACCTCGAGCCTCATTTGTCACTGTCTTCCTGTTCCCATTGGAAATCTTGACCAGTCATTTGGTAAAACATCATGTTGAAGGGTTTGTAGAATTTCCGCAATCTGTGGATCACATCTGGGTCGATGCGGGGATGAGTCCGACCTTTGCTCTTGCCTAAACACCTTGGGGCACTGCTGTCTTCTGGCTTCTTTAGGCAAGGGAACCCCTTGGTTTTGTTGAAGTAGAAATGTTTCTCAGTCACAACACGCTTGAGGCCCAGAAAATCCTGTACTTTGGCCATTTCCCCTGCGGGGTCCACTATGAGACGCTCACCACTGACAAAGAGGATCTGCGAGAGGGGGAAATACTGCAACCAGTTTTCCAGGTGCAGGGCGTAGATCCCTATTCGAATGGCACTCCAGGATGCATCGATCAGCCCCAGGGTCCTGTTTTTGAAGGCCAGCACCTCGAAGGTGGGGATCTCAGGTTTCTTTGACAGTGTCTGGGTATAGTCAGAGATGGCCCTGGTCACGGGGTTTCTTACTACCACAATCAGTTTGATGTCCTTGGCCATAGAGTGGATGCGCTTGGGAGCCTCATTTGTCACAAAGTAACTTGGGGTCTTCTCCATGGTTATCTGCCCATCCAAAGTCTTAGGCATCACATTTCTGGAAGAGGGAAGAAAAGAGAAGAGAGTGGTTATTTCTATCTATCCAGAAGTATTTTAATGACCTGTGTGGTACAAAATGTTTTATATAACCAACCTAGTGGTTAAGTAAATTAATTGAGAACACTTGTAACTTCTTCTTAACTCTATGTCCTGACTCTAGTTCTTACTTCAGTACTATTAGAAAAGGCAGCAAAAAGCTCATGCATCCATTGTTGGGAACCATGCATACCTGGTTTTAAATCACTGCTGTACTTCTTATCAGTTATGTTTAACCTAGACATGGTCATCATTTCTCCCCGAGTTTTAAAATCTCTGAAATGATGATGAGGATAACACCTACTTCACACACACTGCAGTATAAAGATAAAAGGAGATAATATCTGTAAAGCATTTACCATACTCTGGCAGGTGTAAGAGCTTAATAAATGAAGGGTATTACTATTGCTGTAGTGGCTTTCAGAAAATGTTTGAAATGTTCAACTAGACATCGAAGATGATCTAGTCCAGGGTTTGATAAACTACTGGCTGTGTCTTATTTTGTGTGGCACAGCTCAGAATGATTTTTACACCTTTCAATAGTTGAAAAAAAAATGAAAATAATAATTGTATTTTGTGATGTATGAAAATTAAATGAAATTCAAATTTCAGTGTCCATAATCAACTCACATCAGAACATAGCCATACTCATTCATTTCTGTATAGGCTATTATTGCTGTTACACTACATCAGCAGAGTTGTGTAGCTGCCACACAAAGAGATCTTGTTGTTGTCAGTGCCATCAAGTTGACTCCAACTAATAGCAGCCTTGTGTGCACAGAACGCAACACTGCTCACTCCTGTGCCATCCTCACAATCACTGCCATGTGTGAGCCCTTTCTTGCAGCCATTGTGTGAATGCATCTCATTGAGGGTCTTCTGTTTCACTGACCCTTGACTTTTCCAAGCATAATGTGCTTATCCAGGGGCTGGTTGCTCCTGATAACATGTCCAAAATACATGAGAAGTCTTGCCATCCTTCGTTCTGAGGAGTATTCTGTCTGTACTTCTTTCAAGACAGATTTGTTTGTTCTTCTCAGAGTCCATGATGTATTCAATATTCTTTGCCAACACTACAACTCAAATGCATCAATTCTTCTGTGGTTATCCTTATCCATTGTCCAGCTTTCATATGCGTAGGAGACGGCTGGAAATACCAAGGCTTGGGTTAGGCACACCTTAGTCTTCAAAGTGACATCTTCACTCTTCAACACTTTAAAGAAGTCTTTTGCGGCAGCAGATTTTCCCAGTGCAATATGATCTCTGATTTTTTCACTGCTACTTCTGTTGGGGTTGATTATGGATTCAAGTAAAATGAAATCATTGACAACTTCAATCTTTTCTCCATTTAGTGTGATGTTGCTTACTGGTCCATTTGTGAGGAGTTTTACTTTTATGTTCAAATACTGAAGGATATAGTCTTTGATCTTCATCAGTAAGTGCTTCAAGTCTGGTTTGCTTTCAGCAAGCAAGGCTTTGTCATCTGCATGTTGCAGATTGTTAATGACTCTTCCTCCAATCCGGATGCCACATCCTTCTTCATATAGTCCAGTTTCTCACATTATTCGCTCAGCAAACAGACTGCATAGTATGGTGAAAGGATACAACCCTGATGGACACCTTTTCTGATGTAAAATAACACAGTACTCCCTTATTCTATTCAAACTACTGCCTCTTGGTCTACAAACAGATTCTGCATGAGCACAATTAAATGTTCTGGAATTCCTCTAATTCACAATGTTACCCATATTTGTTAAGATCACCAAAGTCGAATGCTTTTGCACAATGAAACACATGAAATATCTTTCTGATATCCTCTGCTTTTAGTTTTGATTCATCTAACATCAGCAATGATATCCCTTATTCCATGTCCTCTTCAGAATCTGACTTGAGTTTCTGGCAATTCTTTGTCAATGTACTACTGCAACCATCTTTAAATTATGTTCAGCAAAAATTTTCTTGCATATGATATTAATGATATTATTCACTGATTTCCACATATTGTTGGCTCTCTTTTCTTTGGAATGGGACAAATATGGCTCTCTTCCAGTAGGTTGGCCAGATAGCTGTCTTCCAAATTTCTTGGCATAAAAGAGTAAGCATTTACAGCATTGCATCCATTTCTTGAAACATGTCTATTGGTATTCTACCAATTCCTGAAGGCTTGTTTTTTTCCCCAATGCCTTCAGTGCAGCTTGGACTTCTTTCTTCAATATCATAGGTTCCTAATCATATGTTACTCCTGAAATGACTGAATGTCAGTCAATTCTTTTTGGTACAATGACTCTGTGTATTCCTTTCATCTTTATTTGGTCCTTCCTATATCATCCAATAGCATCAACACCAAAGATAGAATGATAGAATTTTGCAATACCAATGACCTATTAATTGGAAACACCTTTTTTCAGCAATATAAAATGGAGACTGTACATTTGGAGCTCACCAGATGGAATACCCAGGAATCAAATTGAATACATATGTGGTAAGAGACAATAGAGAAGCTCAATATTATCAGTTAGGACAATGTCAAGGGCTGACTACAGAACAGATCATCAGTTGCTCATATGCAAGTTCAAGTAGAAACTGAAGAAAATTAAAACAAGTCCACAAGAGCCAAAATATAACCTTAAGTATATCTCACCTGAACTCAGAGACAATCTCAAGAATAAATTTGGTGCATTAAAACACTAATGACCAAAGACCAGATGAATTGTCGGGTGACATCAAGGACATAATATATGAAGAAAGCAAAAAGTCATTAAAAAGACAAGAAAGAAAGAAAAGACCAAAATGGATGTCAGGAAAGACTCTAAAACTTGCTCTTGAAATGTGAAGTGAGAAGAAATCATAAAGTAAAAGAGCTGAACAGAAATGCCACAACACAGAATGTGTATGGATTGTTGAATGGAAACCAATTTGCTCTGTAAACTTTCAGTCAAATCACATTTAAAAAAAAAAAAAAAAGGAAAGAGTTGAAGCAAAGATTTCAAAGGGAGACTCTAGAAAAAAAAGTAAAGTATTATTATTATAATGACATGTCCAAATACCTAGAGTTAGAATGGTATCTTATGGACCACAAAGCTTCAAATATTTACTAACGTTCCTTTAAGAAAAACTTTACTGATCTGTGATCTGGTCAGAAGGCAGAAGGCATTACTGCGCTAATGAGGGACCGTAAGTCCACAGACTGGAGGGAATTTAAGAATCAGACAAGCTTTTGACTCAGCAAGTTGAGTCATAACTCCAGGCCTGGGTATCCTCATTTGTAAAATAGTAAAATTTCCCTCAAGATTAAGTTGAGAAGGAAATGACATAGTAAGAGCACTTAGCACAGGTTTAATACAAGGGAGGTTTCTTTTCTCCTGAAGTGATCCACTGAGTCAGTGGGAGATCTCACATTGTGGATCAGGTCTTCTGCTCCCCTTGCCAAGTCTGCAGCTCCACTCACCCTCCATATGCATTCACCTTCAGACTGGCCGTGCTTCACTGGAGAACTTCAAGATATTAAAGGGCTTTAACACCATTTGTCCCCTAATCCCAAGTGTGGCAGGCCAATGAGTGATAAAACAATGTTCAGGATCCTATTATACAGCCAATTTGCTATAGGCATATGTAGACCAAAGTTAATTGACAATAAACCTGTTCAATACCTGTTGGTACAGCAGACCATCTGCCACCATGTGCTCCATTAAGTCTATTCACTTCTGAGCCTTACACCAAAGTGGTACATTTAGGATTACACAAGCCCTCTTTGTTATGATGACATGCTTTTAAATGTCTCAGCCAATAAAACTTAATACAGACAAAGCTCCCTTAGCTTCCCTTACCATAATTAAATTTATTTACTATCGTGTGTGTGGAGAAAGAATGACTTTTCTTTTATCTCTAATTCGCATGCTCTGTCAATAATTAATTGCTACTGGGTTTTGAGCTTTCTAGGCAAGCACTTTTATTAGGCAAGAGGAATTTGCCTGGTGGAGAAATTAGCATA